TCTCTCTCGAACGAACGGTGGAGTCGCGGAACCGGCCCGCGGAGCGGCTCGCGCTCGACCCCGTCGTATATTTTCGAAAAAAAAAAACGAACGAACGGTACAGAACGTGCGCGCGTAGCGCTCACACTCTCGATCGCGACACCATGGAAACGAGGAACGATCGAACGTCGCGTTTCCACGATCGTCGCGATCGGCGCGCGCGGGAAGCTCGCTCGGTCGGTCGCTCGCTCGTCGCTCGCTCCCTCCCTCGCCGAAACGCGCCCAGGGCGATCGCGCGTCGGCGCGACGCTGCGCAGCGATCGTTCACGCCGATCGTGTCGCGAGGCTCTTTCTACCATCTACGTATTGTGTCTCGTCGTCGTCCGAGGTATCCGGAATTTTCGTCTCTATTTTTTTGCGCGGTCCCGCGCGCTCTCCCCGTCGACGCTCCTCCGAAATGAAAATCGTACGAACGGTGGAGTCGCGGAACCGGCGCGCGAACCGCGAGCGAGCGAGCGACCAGCGGGAGCGAGCGAGCGATCCCCGCGCGGCGTTCCAGCGCGCTGCCCGTCCACGCTATTCTCGATCGTACTTTTTTTCGCCCTCGGCGCGGACGTTTCCGATCGCGCGCGCGTCGCGAGGCGAGATCGAGGAGGGAGGAAAACGAAGCGGGACGCCTCTCGCGACACGGCGCCGGCGTCATCCCACTCGGCGCGAGACGGGAGGACGCCGCGAGCGGGATTCGCGCGCGGGACGAACGGGAGATTCTCGATCGCGCCGCGGGACTCGCGTTTCGGCGCCTCGCGTCCGCGAAAACGGCCCCGCGGCGGCGGAAACGCGCGATCGTGGGAATCCTATCGAGCGCGCCGGAACTTTCCTGCGTCCACGAGTCCCGCGATCCCCGTAGCTCGGTTGCGCGCGGCGAACGGCGACGGCGACGCCTCGGGGAGCGAGACGGGACGAGATGCGCGCGGTTCGTTCGGTTTTCAAGCCGAGCTCTCGAGCGCTCTCGTGGCGCGCGAGAAGAAGAGGTTGTCGCGTTTTTTTTCTCTTCCGTACAATCGCTCTTCCTCGCGGTGCAGCCGACGAGAGAGTGTCTCGTAAGAAATCGTTGACGTCCGTGCCTCCGATTTTCGAAGAGATCTTCTCGCGACGAGGCACACCTTTCTTCCAACGGGTATG